AGCAATGTCTCAGTGTATGCCATGTACTTGGATGGCAATAACCTGTATGGCAAAGCAATGTCTCAGTGTATGTCATGTACTTGGATGGCAATAGCCTGTATGGTGAAGCAATGTATCAGTGTATGCCATGTACTTGGATGGCAATAACCTGTATGGCGAAGCAATGTCTCAGTGTATGCCATGTACTTGGATGGCAATAACCTGTATGGCTAAGCAATGTCTCAGTGTATGCCATGTACTTGGATGGCAATAACATGTATGGCGAAGCAATGTCTCAGTGTATGCCATGTACTTGGATAGCAATAACTTGTATGGCAATAACCTGTATGGCGAAGCAATGTCTCAGTGTGAGTGTATGCCATGTACTTGGATGGCAATAACATGTATGGCTAAGCAATGTTTTAGTATGAGTGTATGCCATGTACTTGGATGGCAATAACCTGTATGGCTAAGCAATGTCTCAGTGAATAACTTATATAATTAATGTCAATAAGTTATATGGATACTGATAGTCAAAGTAACAGTATCAATGTAACAGTCAACTATGTATATGGATACTGATTAAAAAACGTATTTGGATACTTATTCAATAACGTATGGATACTGATTCAATAACGTATCGGATTCTGATTCAAAAACGTATTTGGATACTGATTCAATAACGTATATAGATACTGACTCAAAAGTGTATGGATACTGATTCAAAAACGTAATTATGGATACTGATTCAATACCGTATATAGACACTGACTCCATAACGTATGGATGCTGATTCAAAAACGTTTTTGGATACTGATTCAATAACGTATGGATACTGATTCAAAAACGTATTTGGATACTAATTCAATAACGTATATAGATACTGATTCAATAAGGTATGGATACCAATTCTAAAAACGTATATGGCTAAGCAATGTCTCAGTGTATGCCATGTACTTGGATGGTAATAACTTGTATGGCGAAGCAATGTCTCAGTGAATAACTTATATAATTAATGTCAATTATTTGAATAATGTCAATAAGTTATATGGATACTGATAGTCAAAGTAACAGTATCGATGTAACAGTCAACTACGTATATAGATACTGATTCAATAACGTATGGATACTGATTTAAAACATATATGGATGCGGATTCAATACCGTATGTAGATACTGATTCAATATCGTATGGATACGGATTCAATAACGTATGGATACTGATTCAAAAACATATATGGATACTGATTTAATAGCGTATATAGATACTGATTCCATAACGTATAAATGCGGATTCAAAAACGTTTTTGGATACGGATTCAATAACGTATATGGATACTGAATGCCCATGATTCAAATCGTTATTTTGATCATCACTGAATCGAATTGGAATTCCAATGCATTTTCGATTCATCCCACACCCCTCAAATGTAATCTCGTCCCAATGATCAGGAATATAAGATCCAGAACATTTTTTTAAAGTTTTGCAACCTGTTCATCCCTAACTTTGAAAGGTTAGATTATTCCCGACTTTCGGCCGAAATTCATGACTTTTTCACGACTTTTCCCGACCTTTCAAAATCCCCGACTTTTTCCCGAATATCCCGGAATTCCTGACTGGTAGACAGCTTGTGTTATGGAGGCGTGGCAGCGGGGCTGAGATGGTAGTTTCCCAAAGATTTCTCCACCGGAACTGCATTTAGCGCTGGTACTAGAGTAGGGTCGGGGCTACAGGTATCTGCGATGGAGTCGGCAGCTTCGCATAGAGACTGTTTTTTGGATTCTCCCAGATCTTCTCGTTCTCTGAAGGAGGTTTGCGACTCTGACTTCTGGTTGGTGTCAGAGATAAGGGAAGACTGTGGTGTTTGCTCATTTGATCCAGCCAGTTTCTCACAGATTCTGTTCACAAGCCATTTCTTCCCTGCCTCATTCAGATGCATGCCATGCCTTGTGTGCAAGGCTCTATCTGCACTGCTTGACTTGACAAGGCATACATTTGTAAAACGATGACTTAAGGCTTCTAAAGATGTGTTTGTCTTTTTTATTTCTTGATTCACACAAGACCAACTAGGCAAATCATGTCTCGTAGGCAAGTCAACCAAAATTATTTTAAATCCATTGTATTTATGCAAAATACTTTCAATTGAGTTGATTGCTTCTTTTGCTTCATTCTGTGCTACGTCATTCGAACCACAAGCAATTATGAGGACATCTTCAGCTTGTAGTTTTTCTACATCAATATTTTCCACATTTAATATTTGTTTTGCCAAACCTCCTGGTCTCACAAAACCAACTGCATCAACAGATCTAGAGGACTTATTTAAGTGAAAAGCTAAGTTACGGCCATGACTATCTGCACACAGAAGAATTTTCTTTTGCAATGACTTTTTATTATTATTGTTTTTTTTTTCTTAGCAGGAGCGTGCCTTTAGAAATATTATTGTTTTTTTTCTTAGCAGGAGCGTGCCTTTTACTTTTCTTTGTCCTGTTGCCTTCTTGGGTTATTTACACAAGTTTGTTTGTCTGTTAGTGGTCCAGCAGAATCTTTATCCATGCTCTAAAATAAAAGTATAAATATTTATATTCAAACAAAAGTAACAGAATTTGGCCTAGTAAACTAATTATTATAAGTTAAACAAAGCAGAACTGTTCCAAATTTAATGTACTTTAAAAATGGTTAAGGTTGTTCTTTATGAAAAAGTGATGCTTCAGGGTCAAAATCGGACAAACGTAAAAATAGTGCGAAATTCCGCTGATTTTTAAGCTTTTTGGAGGTGATCCGGAAGGTAGCCGAGGTTGAAAATTTGGATTTAGCCATTCAGTACTATTACAAACAACATAAAAAAAGAAACCTACTACCCCATTTCATGCAAGATAAAATGCGCTAGGATACCGTACTGGATTATTCACGGTAAATTCAAACTTTAAATTTTGAAATTTTTAGCCTTTAAATTTGTTTTTGATAGTATTATGTCTCCACCTCCAGCATTTAAACTACGTGAATAAAAAGTGTTAATATTATATCCCGTTATAGTGAGAAGCTCCAATTCATGACTTTTCATTTTGTGTTCACATAGTACTATTATATCTGGGTCAATTTCTTGAATAGTAATTTCTAATGGTTCTATTCTGCTCGGTAGATGTTGAATAATAAAGTGAAAAATTTTTAAGATGTGTGATTTTTGTGATATTTTATCGTGTGCTGCTGGTTTAGGCTACAATTTTTTACTTTATTGGTATACTTTTGGAGTGTCGGAGTTTAAAGGTAGGCTGTGTTTATGGGCTGTTTGAGATTGAGGGATGTCTAGGAAGGCTATTTGGGATAATTTTTCCACTGAAACGACACCATCATCGATATCACACACATTATTACTCTGCTCTTTGGTTACACTTTTTGCCACTTCACTGTAACTCAGATAGGGTATGTGTTCATGGTAAGGATTTCATAGCTTTTGTGGTGTAGCAAACTGTCAAATTGGAGGTTGTGGGTTAGGGCATGTTGTGCTATGGGGTTTTCTTTTTGGTTTTAATGTCATGATGGTGTCCATTCATCCTTTTTCTTTAAGTTTCTGTTGTTAGGCCAATGTATTTGGCAGGGCATTGGGCGCATTCCAATTGGTAAATCAGGTTTTCTGTGTTGCAGGTGAAGTGTCCTTTGATTTTGAATTGTCTATTGTGGAGAGAGCTGGAGAATGTTTCTGCTGGTTTGTGAATGTTGCAGGATTTGCACCTTTTCTCATTAGAAGGGTAAGGGCCGTGGTTAGGTTTTTTCTGATGGGGGTACTGAAGTATCTAGTACTGTAGTTTGGAATGTATACAAGTAAATTTTTCAGATTTGGAGGTTGTCTGTAAACTAGGGATGGAGATTTTTGGAGAAGATTCTTGGGTAGTCTCGAAGATTGTATAATTTTGAAGCCTGATTTTAGAAGATGGTTCAGAGATTGTAGGCCAGGTTGGTAGGTGGTTATTAAATTTAAGTGTTGGTCTTGGTTGTTTATATTTTTCTCCTTTCTGGGGTTTTTGTTGGATTGTGCTGCTTTGGGATTTTACAAGGTTTCTAGGGTAGCCTCGGTTTTCAAACGCTTTCTAGAGTTGATTATTGTATGTTTTTTGTTTTTATTTTCTTGGTCGGAAATCAGGCGAGTCCCTCTTAAGGCCAGGCTGTAGGGGATGGATCTCTTTGTGTTATTAGGGTGGCAGCTTGAGAAATTTAAATATTGGGTGAATTAGCTGAACAAAAATCGCTCAAATACTTCATTAGATTTACCAACAAAAAACTTATCAAATCGTTGAACAACTTCATCTAATTCAATATTTTCATCATCCATGAAACCGAAACTGTAATATATATCTATAACAAATGGGCCTAAACTAGACATAATTGATGCTACCTGTACTGCATTTGATTTCCTATCAAGGCCAGAAGCTCTGTAGTACCAGTTCCACTGTTGCTTCCATTTCTTCCAAGAAGGAGCCATCATTACATTATCCTTGTCTTCTGTATGGTTTGTATGGATATTGTCATGTTCCTTAAAGTCATACCTTTTATTTCTATTCTGTGTGGGTTTCGGCACCATGTCATTAGATTAATTATTAAATAATTGTATTTATTTCATGAAAGGTTGTGTATTTCTATTCAAAAAAAAACTCAATCAAAATATTAAACAATAACACTAAACATATGTTGAACAATTACCATATGTTACTAACATATTAACTACTACTGTCATCCCTCTTTCACAAGTCAAAATTACTTGGTTTTCTTCAAATCCTTTCCCCTCGTCTTTCAACAGGAGCTGAGTCATTGTTATGTCCTTCTGACCTGGACGATTGACCTTTATTCACATCATGGGAGATTCTGAATGACTTGTCTCTGTTACTTGACGAGGTATTGTACACCATAATTATTAGGCAAAATGAAAACGTCTGCAAAAAAGGGCTCAAAATGTTATTAGATTTGTTAATGCAGCATGCAGTTGCCGTTATCTAAGAAACATGAATGTGTAATGTGCATTGCTTACTTTGAAAGTGCTATCTAAAATTCTGTAAGCCTCTTCAACCTTTTTGTAATGTTTCTCCATCAAGAATGTGATACCATGGGAAGTGCCAAAGTCTTTTTGAGTGTTTGATAACTGAAACAGAAAATAAATAACAACATTTCATATAATACTCACAGGTGTGTTGATGGTCTTTGAAATAGCACCCATCAGACCTCCCAGGGGAAAATGTTTAAAATTAGAGCTAGGCCTAGAACAGTAAGTTTTAAATAATTTTTTTAGTACCATAAGTTTTTTTAACAATTTGCATTTTTTACATCTTGAAAACATACTGATCTTGATTCAGACATACTGTAGCCTATTCTTTTAGCAAATTTCCCATAGGTTATATATAGGGAGTAAGTTATTACCTGTAGGTTTCATGGTAAGACTTAAGCCCAGGACTTATTTACTTTTATGTTTTTATTTGAGGTCCCCAAAGGCCAAATACAATAAGTTAAAATTAATATGTAATAGACGGTTGATAATTAAAAATTGGTGGGCCAAGCAAATAAATTTAAATTGTCAAGAGTTTTGCATTATCAAGAGTTTGATTTATCGGTAGAACAATAAACCATTAAAATAACAAAGCGTCTTTTTAGCAAATTTCCTATATAGGGAATATAAGCTATTACCGTAGGTCTCATGATAAGACCTGGACCCAGGGCTGGTTTATTTTTTTGTTTTGAGGTCCCCAAAGACCAAAAACACCATCTGTTCAAATTCATAATTTATATTTATATATGTGTCCATTAGCACGCAAACTTGAACAAAAATAATCAAATTTTGTTGAAAATATTATAGGCCTATGTGTTAACCTACATTTATTTGAACGAGTTTGGGAACCAGCATGGGCCAAACCATTATTTATTTTTCATAAATAAATAAATAAATAAATATATCTTTATTGTCACATAAACGTTTTACAGATTACATAGCATAAGCTACAAAAACAGGTGACATTGTCAATATAATCATATATCATAAGTACCTAAAATACTAAAAAATAAACAATGATTCTTACAAATAATTATTTGGGTTATTTTATAAAACATAATATTTGCTAATTTAAAAAATTACCATCATTCAAAAATTCGTCAATACTATAATATATTTTGTTTACAAGAAATGAGGCAAGGCTGCTTTTAAAAGACGTTTTTTTTATTAAATCTTTATATTTTGGTTGCAGTTTATTAAACAATTTCTTTCCCATATATTTTGGTGTTTTTTCTATTAATTTTAATCGGTGAATCGGAAACTGAAAATTCTTTTTGAAACGGGTGTTATATGGATGGTCAAAATTCTCCGCACATAAGTTTTCAAAATTTGACTGTACCATTAATAAGGATTTAAAAATGATTAAACTTGGTACAGTCATTATATTAAGTTCTTTAAAAATTTGTCTACATGATTGTTTTCGTTTAGCAAATGTCATTATTCTTAAGTATTTTTTCTGAACTTTAAAAATCTTTTCTATTTCTGATGAGAATCCCCAAAATTCAATTCCATAATGCAATATGGAATAAAAATAGGCATAATATATCATTAAACGTGTTCTCATATCCAAAATATTTCTCAAACAAAGCATTTGGAAACAGGCAGAATTAAGCTTATGTAATATGTTTTCAATGCACTTGGCCCAGGTTAAATTTGAATCAACATACAAACCTAAAAATTTTGTACATTTGACAGTTTTGGTTCTTGTTTTATGTGTGAAATTTCGGGATTGTATCGTATTAAATTTTACTAGTTGTGTTTTTTCTGGATTTAATTTTAGTCCGTTTATTTCAAACCACCTTCTAAGATCCATTAAAGCGTCTTCTACTTTCACCCATAAATCATCCTCCGTTTTAGCTTTAACAACAGCAGTTGTGTCATCTGCATACAGTATTAAATTATGAGAAATATTTTCAGGTAAGTCATTTATATAAATTAAGAAAAGAAGAGGACCTAAAATAGAGCCCTGTGGGACACCTACTCTAATTTCACTCCATTCAGATTTTGACTGCAAGCCTCCTTTTAAAATAACAGTTCTTTGAAATCTACCTGTTATATAAGATTTCAACCATAAAATAGATTTCTTAGAAAATCCATAAATTTCCAGTTTTTTCAAAAGAATGTCATGGTTGACACAATCAAAAGCCTTGGACAAATCACAAAACACCCCCATTGTACTCTGTGACTCATCCAAGGCCCATGACACTTCATTAACAAAATGGGATATAGCGGTCATTGTGCTGCAACCCTTTCTAAAACCAAACTGTTTACTACTAAATATATTGTATGTTTCCAAGAAATTATAAATTTGTTTATAAGCAATTTTTTCAAAAATCTTGGAAAAAGAAGGTAAAAGTGATACAGGCCTATAATTGTCAGGATTATGCTTTTCACCTTTCTTAAAAAGTGGCTTGAGTTCTCCATATTTAAATTGTTTAGGAAATATGTTGTTTTGAAATGATTGGTTAATAATAATTGTGAGAGGTTCTGAAATAGAGTCTATGACTTTTTTCATGAGATCCACCGAAATTTCATCCCATCCCGCAGATTTTTTATTTTTAAGTGATTTGATTACTTTGACTACATCTTTTTGCTCAATGGCTTTAAAATCAAAATTAAATAGTTGTTTACTAGTCATTAAGTTCCTTGTCATATTTAGTGCCTCAAATTCACATGGTGATGTTCCCATTTCCTTGGTTATATTGGTAAATTTTTTATTAAAGAATTCAGCTATTTCTTTTACGTCGCTAATGGTTTTATTTGAGAGTTTAATATCAGGAAAACTATTCTTGACTTTTTTACAACCTAGCTCTGATTTAACAACACACCACGCAGCCTTGCTCACATTTTCTGATTTGTTTATGAATTTAGCATTGCACATCCTTTTAGATTGATTACAAACTTTCTTGAAAATTGTTTTATACTTTCTAACATAATCCTTAAAGAGTCCGTCGTTTGATTTTTTTGCCAGTTTACTTAGTTCTCGTTTATTTATACTAGATATTTTAATACCCTTTGTTACCCAAGACTTCTTTTGATTCTTATTTTTGTTGTTGTAAAACTTTAAGGGAAAAGACTCTTCAAAAGTATTGTGAAAATGGCAAAAAAAGTTAATACAATTTTCTTCAAAACATTTTTTTACAGATACATCCCATTTTATTTCTTTAATATTATTTACAAAACTTGTGACATTGGCTTTTGAAAACATTCTTTTTTTAGTTGTTTTATCTGTTCTGTCCTTATTATCCTCAAATGAGCTATCAAAAATGTTTATAAACAAAGCCCTATGATCTGAAAGACCCAGTTCTAAATTCATTGTCTGGACTGAATATTGTGAATTTATTTTTCTAGTTAAGATATTATCTATGCAGGATTCAGTGTGTTGCGTAATTCGAGTCGGTGATGTAAAGTTAATTTTAAACCCATATTGATTTAACAGAGAAATAAAATCTTGTTTTTGATTTGGATGGCTACAGTCCTCCAACAGATCAATATTAAAATCCCCAGCTATGTATACATTTCTTATTTTTGTTGTTTTATTGAGCATTATAAATAACCTTTCTAACTTATTGAGAAAAGACTTAAAATTAGTTACATAAGGAGTCCTGTATATTGAAATTACAATAATTTTTAAAGTAAAAATCTCAATGCATGATGATTCAAAAATAGAATTTTCATTTAAAACACAGAAATCATCTCTTATAGTGTACTCTAAACTATCTTTTATTAAGATGCAGGAACCACCATGGCTACCTTCTTCCCTACAATAAAAATGGGCAATTGTATAATTTGGGATACTATTTAAAATATTTATATCTACACTCTTAAGCCAATGCTCGTTCAAACAAACAATAGGAATATTTGAATTTTCTAAGATTATCTCAAGATCATTTTTTTTACTTATCAACCCACCCTCAATGTTAAGGTGCATTAACCACAAAAATCTCTTTTCAAATTTAGCTGATTTACAGACTGGCCATGAGCCTTTAGTATTATAAGCATTAGCATCATTTAAAAAGTCATGAAAATTATTACATACAACACAAAAGTTTTTAATTTTTTTAGGGTCACTTAGTGGGGGCATTTGCTTTGCAAGCTTAAGTTTTGAAGGTGGGTTTCCTCTAAAAAACAACCAACCTCCATGGAGATATTAATTGATTCACATGAACTAGGGTTATTGGAGGAACAGTGATTCTTAACTAAATTTTTTACATTTAAAATTGGACTTGAATTTCCATCACAATTTCTCTGCTTTAGCGCTTCACTAGAAGTGAGAGCGCCCGACACTATTTTAACACTTTCACAGACTGATGTCTCCAAAGGTGGTTGGATTTGTTCTGGTGTAGTATCTCGAGGTGGTGACATTGGTTTCTCTGATGACTCCTCAATCTGAGTAGCTTCAAGGTCCAGGGGCAGTAATGACTCACTGGCTGAGTCGTTCAGATCTTCACCATGTGTTGACATCTGGCGTGTAAGTTGGCCGTCATCTCCAGGTGCTTTGCAATCAGACGAAACTATCTTAGTTGTGTTTGTTTCGTTACCAGAGCCCTGTGAGATTTCCAAAGACTGCTGCAGATTCTCCGAAGATGAAACAGGCGGGTTGATGCAAGCATCAGTTACACTATTTGGGGCATCAATTTTACAAGAGCAACTGTCAATTGTCCTCCTTAGCTGATCCAAAAATGCAGTATGTGATAGCCCATTCCATAATTTTCGCTGAGCAGCTGGTTGATCACATGACACCACATATATCGTAGCATTAGTCATTTTGTGCAGCTTTACAATATTTTTTGCAAAGTGGTTGAGAGGTACTAAGTCACGCACTTCATAAAACCCCCCATAAAATTGTCCGATCATGCTGGTTCGTGAACTCGTTTGAATAAATGCAGGTTTACACGTTGATACCAAATTTCATCAAAATGTTATCATTTTGCTCGAGTTATCGTGCTAACGGACACACATATATGCATATATATATATATAACCTATATATGTGTTAGGTTGGATTAGGTTTGAACAAATTAGTAGGCTACCGTATTTTAGGTGAGTGCCTTTTTGCCATGTTTTAGGCCTTTTTCCCCTTAACCCTAAGTTGTAAT